CTCTCATATTCTAAATGTTTTCTTTTATAAAAATACCAACGCTGGAAAAATTTACTGACCTTGTAGGCAGTACCACAAGTTCCAAAATTGGAAAAACTACTCCCACATTTTTATGATTGTTCATTTTCTCAATGAAAAATATTTTCTACCTTCAATAGATACACAAAAGAAGGTTTATTAGTTACACATAATTATATGAAATATAAATTTATTTTAAGATAATTTAGGATGAGAATTATAGCTTTTGATCCTTATATTAGTCCATGTGTAACAACCAGAAACAAAAGTGAATGCATATAAATTAGCCTTGTATGAAAATATAGAATAAACACAAAAACTAGAGCAAGACTAAAATGTGCACCACCTATTGGCAGTATTCAAAATCATATTTAATTTCTGCATTGCTAACACATGTACAGGTAACCTGTTGGAGATTGATCCGATGGAAGATAGACGTTATACCCTAACCAATGGCAAGCTAACCATCAGTCCGCCAAATAAGGATTTAGACGCGGGGACATACCAGTGTGAAGCCTCTAATGAGTTCGGAACAATCGTTGGGAATAAAATACAACTCACATTTGGATGTAAGTGGATATATTGATGTATGCATGTAATAACCCAATCAAATTAAGTTGGATTACTATTATTATATCACTGTTAAGCTTGCTATTGTATGATTGGTCAAAACTGTGACACATGTCATGGATGATCAGGTGATATTCATTTGTCATGCTTATCATGCTAATCATGGTGAATAAATAATTCACTGCTCTTGAAAATTTATTTTGTTGAGTATAGGTGAAGATTATTATTGTAGCAGGCATAAACAATGTTTAACAATTTTAACCCTATAAAATTGTATTTATCAATGTTTAGACATTGAATAGATAATATTGAGGGTGGTAAGCTAAGAGTTCATGGATTTTTGAGATCCATCACTGTAATGATATAACTTTGGCACATATTCTACTATAATATTGAATTTTATTTTTTGAATACAGACCTGCAAGATTTCTCCAAGACACTGCGTGATCCAGTTCGAGTAAATGCCTATGAAGCCACTGGAATAGACTGCAACCCACCTGCCCATTACCCCGATGTCTTATACTCCTGGTATAAGGACGACATCAGGAATTTCGTAAGGCCAGAACTGAAACCATATGTGTTTATTTCCCGGTCGGGTAAACTGCTCTTCCAGAGTGTTACATCTGATGACGAGGGCCAGTATTATTGTCTTGTTTACAACCCAAGTGCCGAGGATGCCACATCGCCATCTATGGGAAAACACAGCACACCTATTCCCATCATTGTTCTTGAGACTGTTCCCAGTGAGCGTGAACCTCAGATGGAGTCGGGGTTCCCGCGTGCTTTCCCCAATGCACCCAAGCGTGGAGATACTGTCAACATTGAATGCTTCGCTCGAGGAACGTAAGTCACTATCTCAAGCAAATCTTGTTTGGGTCCATTGTTCACTTGCTAAGTTGCTTTAGTATTTTGGAAATACTAAATACTGTCTCGTGGAAGGAAATTGGAAATTTCTAAATCCATTGTTGTCACCAAGGCAATACAATGATGTCACAATAACAGAGCATAGACTAGTAATTTAGAATATGGATTATATACACCTGTTTTTTGTCCCAAATAACTTTTTCACAAAAAGGTGCCAAATGTATTCATTTCTCTACCATTCCAGAGGTATTTTGGTGTACACGTGGCGTAGAAAAGATGACGATATGCCAGGCAATGCTGTGATAAGTGACCACGGTAGAGTCCTTACTATACCAAATATCCAGTTCAAAGACAAGGGAGAATATGAATGTACTGTACAGAGAACAGAGGGTCTGTCTACATCTAAGACAATCATTGTGCCATTGGATGGTAAGTTTTATATAGATCGCATCAGTAGATTAGGCTGGAAATCTAATGTAAATTGACCTTGGCTTGGATATTATATCTAGGTCAGCAGAAGGTTTCCTATTGTTGAAGCAATGAATAGAGGATATATACAATCTTGAAAAGTGTTGACTTGGAATAAAGAAAATCTATTTTTGTAAATTGACCTTGGCTTGAACTCTATAGCTAGGTCAAGGTCAGCAGAGGGTTTCTTATTGTCAAAGCAGTAAATAGAGTACTACTTAAATACAATTTAATACATTTTTCTTCCAGCTGAACCATATTTTACTCTGCCCATTGGTAACAAGTATGTTGACCAAGAAGGTGACCTAGATTGGAGATGCGAGGCCTCTTCTGCACCTGACCCCGTTTATAGTTGGTACAAAAATGGCAAGCTCCTCACCCAGGACACACTACCCCCCTCAGAGAGAGAAAGAATGACTGTGTCATACAATGTGCTAAGAATTAAAGCTGTTGATCCGGAACGTGACCAGGGGATGTACCAGTGTGCGGCTACTAATCTACATGGAACACGATTCAGCACTGGACAACTGCAAGTCTTATGTAAGTATCATAGTATGTTGTAAAATTAAAGGAACTAAACTGCAACCACTGTATTAAACACTTGCCATTGCACCAAGTCAAATTTTGATAATACTTATTTTATCACGTTCTAGCATTTAATTAACATAAATGAATTTACAATTTGACCAGATTAAACTCTTGTGATGATGATGTTAATTATTCAGAAAAGTTCAATATATTGTTTTCATTACAGCATTCCCACCAACTTTTGACAAGTTTCCATTGGAAAGAAATCAGTTTGGATCTCGTGGTGGCAATGTCACGATTCTCTGTAGCCCTGAAGCTGCCCCCTCCCCTGTGATTACCTGGTTGAAAAATAATCGTCCACTAGGAGTCTCTGAGGATGAGGGATCTCGCATAAGACAACTTAAGGCAGGACATCTTTTCATCAGCAACGTCCAAGACTCGGATCGAGGATTCTATACATGTGTTGCTACAAATGTGTTTGGGGAATCTAAGAGCACGGGAAATCTGACTATTCTAAGTAAGTTGCATCCTCCGATCACAGGGCTTCAAAATCCAGAATATATTCTTTCTTTTTTCCCCCTTCGATTAGCAGTTAGCATTTCCCCAATTAAGAACTCGCAATCTGATTGGCTGTCGCAACAATGCGACAGAAATCATGTATAAGTCATTGCGCATAATAAGATCATGTAATTCAGTTTAATCAGGCGCTTCCAAATTGGTTATAGCAGGGGGAAGAAGGAGGTATGAATTCTGGATACCTGCTTATTAGGAGGATGAGTAAGTTACGACCTATGATCACCAAAGCATTGAAGTATTTTAAAACTATATTGCAACTACAAAATCCATCAACACATATTGGGATTTTTAACATAGGTAAATGAATGCACCTACATATTAATATTAAAAAGTATGATATATGGTTATAACCTATTCGAGAAAAACCTAAATAAGAACACTTTATATGATATTTTAGGGGGTGGGGAGGTGGCATCGGTTACTCTGAATTCAGTCAATAAGTTTGGATCAAATATAGTCTAATAATTATGCTCACATATTGATTTCCAACTTTTTTGTGGACAGTGTTCGGCGGTCGTGTCTGTAATAAATGGTAGGTGGTGGTATTTTGCATGTTAATGCCTTGTATAAAATGAACTCACAGTCATCTTACTTGGACCTAAAGCAAGGGATGCAATCACTTCACTTCTACAGCTCATATACATTCAATAGAGCAATCCAGTAAATCATGCTACTACTGTGATGTCATTCTTACAGGACAGAAACAGAATTAATTCATTGAATTAATGAATAGCTCATTTTTAAAAACTTAAACATTTTGTTTACATACCTGCAAAGCAGCCATCATAAATCTATCCAATACTCTAGTTTCATTGCTTCACCAAATGAGGTCAGGATCTATCAGACTATAGTAATAAATAAATATATTGAATAAATGAAAATAAATTGATAATTTTCTAGCTACATCTGTGATATCTCACAAGCCCAAGGATGACAAAGTGACAATTGGGTCAACTGCGACGCTACATTGTCTGGCATCCGTCAACCCTCTGCTTGACCTCACATATGTCTGGCTGCATCAGGGCAAGAAAGTAAACATAGATGGCGATATATGGTTGAAGCTGTTGCCTGATCCACACTATGAAAGAGTAAGCCTGATGATCTAAGGAATATAAAATGATAGATCATGAAAAATGTTTTAAACAGTCTTAAAAGATCATTCCAAATTTTATTAGGATTATCCTTGATGAAAATCAGAACTGTCAAGGAGTAGGTCTAACTTTTTTCTCGATCAGATTTAATTTCATCTTTATTGTAATTTTTACAAAATAATTTTCACTAACATTCCATTCCATTCTTTAACTTCATTACTTGTATAATCTGCAGGGAGAGGGTGTGAACAAGGGAGATCTCATTATCCTAGATGTGCAACAGTACCATGAGGGAATATATACATGTGTGGCAACAACAGTGGTTGGGAGCACCTCGGCTGAATGTGATCTATTAGTAGTAGGTGAGTACAAGACAGGTGTAGGTGGGTCATAAACTGTTTTAATACCATGTATCAAGTTGAATTGCATACCAGCTGCCTTGTAATGTAACTGTTATTTTTCTATATTTGCTGAAAGACAAGCCAGCAAAGATTAGATACTAAAAATTTTAGGTCAACAATTCCAATATCTTATCTGCAAATAAAGACAATGTAATGGTCATTAATGTATCCTGAAGGATCCTGAAACTGACCATTGAAAATTGGGCTTTATCATGTTTTCTGGAATATGGATGTGATGAATTATTGTTACAATAGAGATTGCTTTTAATGATATTGCTTTTGTCTCAAAAATTGATGCTAACTTTTCACAACAGGTCCACCCGGAGAGCCAGCTGGTGTACGGGGGGATGACATCAAAGCCAGATCTATTACAGTACGGTGGCAGAAGGGCGCAGAAAATGGTGCCCCAACTAAAGGATTCAAAGTTGAGGCATACAGTGAACAGCATCCTTACTGGGAGGTTGTCAAGACTAGTAAGTATATCATGAGGATAGTATATCATGAGGAAAATATATCATGAGGAAAGTATATCATGGTGACAATATATAATCATAACATCCTCTTTGCCAATGCAACAGTGTTCCTCCATGGTGTAACCTTTGCTTAGGATTTTGAAAATGGTGAATCATCTCAACTCCTTTCTCAATTGAAATTGTTATCATTAGAACTGTTCAAAATGACTGAAAAACTTTTGCTTTTAGTTGGTAAAGCCCAGTTGTGATTTGACTTAATAATGATGTCATAATGTAATAATGATGTCATAATGTAATTAATGATGTCATTGTTTTCAGACATCCCAATCAGCAGTAAATCAACAGCTAATGTAATCTTAGGATCTCAGGGAGCCAATATTATTGAATTTGAGTATGAGGCTGTAATTGACAGTCTGAACCCTTACACAATATACAAGTTCAGGGTACTGTCTGAGAATGCCAATGGATGGGGACCCCCTAGTAAACCATCACGTAAGTATATACAATGACCAATTATTTATTTTATTTATTTTTATTTAATTTAATAAAATGGTGTATAACAAATGCCTAAATTCATTTTTATTCTCTATATATCCATATATACAGGGTGTCCATTAATAAAAAACAACAACAACTATTAATGTCTTTCTTTATATATTGCAGCTGAATACACTACCCTTCAGGCACTACCTGACAAGTATCCCAGACAATTGGGAGGGGGTGGGGGTAAGGTAGGGGACCTAACTGTCACCTGGCAGCCGATGAACACCTCTGAATATCACGGACAGGGTTTTGGATACAGGGTATTTTGGAGGTTACCAGGTTTGTTTGTTTGATTGTAATTGGTAATTGGTTTATGATTTAAACGAGGTAGAGTCATTCAGATGGACCAACAATGTGCAGAATAAGTTTTTATGTCACCACCACAAATGGTGACATATTGTTATGGTCTCACACTTTTTGTCAGGTTGGTCAGTGTGCAGCATCTCATCTGTAACAAATGGCAGGTGGTGACATATTGCATATTAATGCCTTGTATATCTATTACTTTCTATGCACAGGAACTGAGTTCAATTTGTGGCTTGGTGATCCTGTGGAATACCTTGTTGGTTCCATCCATCCTTCCATAATTCATCCCGTCCATCCATCCATCCATCCATCCACCTATCCACCCATCCTTCCATCCACCCACCCATCCATCCATTCAGCCTTCAAAAATTTCCAAACAAATGAAAGCTGTCAGTCATCTGAACAAATAGTAATGTTCATTTTATGGGGATCCATAATACTGGTAAACTACATCAATGGTCCAAGGTCCTACTTTTGGCTCGTTTTGGCCTCTTCATCATGTAATTCCCCTAGGTTGTCTAGACTAAGTACAGTAGATGCAGTTTATAAAATTCCTTCCGAGACATTTTATAAAGCTAATTATATTTGTAATTTTTTATTAGTCTGAGATATTGTATTATACTGTCTGTATGTTGAGCTTGACATTGAAACTATAACATAAATGATTGAAATACTGTTTCTTTATACAAATTATAGAACAACACTTTTTACAAGAATGTGTCTGGTATATTACAGGTACAGATGAAAAATGGGAGAAGAATGATGTATTGGGAGGGGAGCATTCTAAATTTGTGGACACTGTAGGATCCCTGAACTACTACAGACAGTATGAAGTGACTGTTGCTGCATTCAATGCAGTTGGAGAAGGACCTAGAGCTCCCACTCAAATTATATGGTCTGCTGAGAACAGTAAGTGAACAACAGTCTTATCATGGTTAATTTCTTTAGTGAATGACCATCTTATCATGGTTCATTTTTTGAAATGGATAGCAGCCTTATCATTGTTCTTTTTTAGTAATAGTCTTATCATGATTCATTGTTAAGAAAAGGGGTACATGTATAAGATGTTGCTATGCTTAAGTGGCAAATGTAGACTGTGGTTTTAATGTTCCACACATTTTATGTTGTGAGTCCTCATAATAACAACATTCATATTTTTGTTGCATTGTTTATAGTGCCTACTTATGTACCAGTCAATATACATGCACGCCAGTACAATGCCACTGCCCTGTTGGTCTCATGGAATCCTGTTATAGATGATCGAAAGAACATGAAGGGACGACTCTATGGATTTAGGGTAAGTTTTTGAAATATTTACACGTTTACATGTTGCTGCCATACTTATGATATAAGGTATTTTAAGGGCCGTTATAATTATTTAGGGTAAAGTAAAAGCGTCATACATAAGTATCACACTTAAAAGCTCTTGTATTTGGCTTAAAAATTTGTAAGTTTCAAGTACAGTACTTCTACGTGAATTGAAACCAAGGATGAGATGCAATTTCCCAAATATGGCATTTCCAGTTTCACTAAATGGGGAAGATAATCCCTGTGTCCACAGTTCAAAGGTCATTGTATGCATAGTGTACACATTAAAACCTGTCCATTTGGAATACCTTTCATATGAGCAAATAGCATTGACTGAAGTACCTTTCATATTCGCAAATACCATTGACTGAAGTACCTTTCATATTAGCAAATACCAGTGCCTGAAATACCTTTCATATTAGCAAATACCATTGCCTGAAGTACCTTTCATATTAGCAAATACCAGTGCCTGAAATACCTTTCATATTAGCAAATACCAGTGCCTGAAATACCTTTCATATTAGCAAATACCAGTGCCTGAAATACCTTTCATATTAGCAAATACCAGTGCCTGAAATACCTTTCATATTAGCAAATACCAGTGCCCGAGGAGTTCTGAGGCTAGGTGTTCTTCACAAAGAAGACTCATTGTATGCTAATAAGAATGGTTCATTTGTCAGAGAAGTGCTCATCAGAGAAATGTGTTCCATCAGACAAGTTTTACAAATTCCAAAATGTAGGTCTTAGAGGTTTCTGGACAACTCAAACCCAGGACAGCTCGAACCCTTGACAAATCAGACGCAAAACATCTTGGACCCATGACATCTTGGAGTTGTCCAGGGTCCAAACTGTCTTGGGTTTGAGTTTTCCAGTTACCCTCCTGGCCATATACACACTAGCTTAAGAAATGATTGTCTCTTTAGATCAACTACTGGAAGGCAGTAGGGGAAGATGAGAACATTGCCAAACGTCAGACTATCAATGGGACTGTGACGGAGGGCTTCATTATTGGACTGCTCCCAGATACATACTACTGGGTGAACGTCATGGTCTTCAATACAGCTGGCAATGGCCCCAAGAGTCAGGACTTCAAACAAGATACTCTTAGATCTGGTATGTACAAAACTGGTTTTGCATAAATCTTCATCCATTCTGGACAATACAATGTCCAGTGAATTAAAGTATTTCCCAACATATTGATCTTAGTGTAAAAATGATGACACTACTTTGAACATATGATAATTGTGTAGAAAAGATGGCGTCTTTTATTGTCAACACAAGAACAGAATAATATTTTTGAATAGAATGTTTTATCAATTATGTTTTTCATTTGACAAAGCAATATGTTTTAAAAGAAGAAGCTTGAATATTGAGTTTTGTGTTTATAGCCCCCATTGAGGCCCCCCAGTTGAATATTGAGTTTTGTGTTTATAGCCCCCATTGAGGCCCCCCAGTTGAATATTGAGTTTTGTGTTTATAGCCCCCATAGAGGCCCCCCAGGAGGTACAGGTTCGTGCCATTAACAGTGATTCCATTCATGTAAAATGGCGAGGTGTTCAGATCACAGGAAAGGAAGAACCTTTAGAAGGATACATTGTAAGTTTTTTTCTATATTATCATACCACATATATATATGAAATAAATGTAGTATTTACAATACATGCCAATGCTGTCATCGTGCTAGAAAGCATTATTAGCTTTAATCACAATGCAATTGTAAATTGGTTACCTTTTCAGAAAATATTGCCATAGTAATTAATTCCTTTTGAAGTGTGGGCTTGACACATTTAATTAGATTTGTGCACCTCTGATATGATATAAGTGAATTCATTATCATGGTTCAAACTGAATTCAAAAGTGCAATCACGAGAATAAAAACACCCTAAACCCAAGTAAACTGTATGAACATGAACCATACATCTCCATGTATATCAAAACAGTAATCATGTGTACCATATGGATTCTTCATTGGCTAGGTGAGAATGTGGTATGCTGATGAGAATGTGTACAGTTGGACGGACTATGATTCTGGAAAAGACACTGAGTATACAGTCTACAACATGAAAGAGGATACCATGTATGAACTCAGGGTGCTAGGATACAGTCGTGGCGGAAATGGCACCATGAGCTCTCCCACCATACAACTTGTGCTGGGCAAAGAGTGCTATATCAGAGAAGGTCAGTGTTCTTATATGGGGTCTTCTGAGAAAAAATACAAGTTGATATCTCTCTATTATAAATTCTAATGAAATTGAAATATTTCTAAACCAGTCACAGAGTTGTCAAGAATAAAAACATGAAACCAACATTAAAATAAATCAAAACAATGACCTGCAAATGATATAAACCAATAGATTCAATTTTTGTGACAATAGTCTTTTTTTATTTATTATTGATTTCATTGTCACAAATACACAAATATGATTACATGTATGAGTGCGTTGCCATGGAGACCTTTTCATATCAATCAAAAAATGATAATAGGAGGTCTTATTTACCCACATTCTAACATGGCATTGTGTTACATGATTCGGTTACTCTGTCCTCAATGTATCCGGACACCTCATTTATAATCCCCATATTGCCAGGACATTTACCATGACTCAGTGGCTCTGGTTTATTACAAATACGAACTTTAGATCTGACACCACCCCCACATGTAACTGTGCACTCAGTGGTTGTAAAACCACCCCAGCCACCATCTAGTGTCATCTTCTCAGTTATCCAGTCCAAATAGTTGGTTACCTTCGTATATACACCTGACCATACTCCACAGGAACTTTTTGAGCTCCAACTTACAATTCCGTATTGTTCATATATCCTGGGTTTAGAGCCTTTGATGGTGCAAATAAATGGTCCACCAGAGTCCCCATAACATGCATCTCTGCAATGTAGAACAATGTTAGAATTGTATCTGTTCCAGAATTTTCAAAAACAGTTTTCTAATGTCTAGATTGAGAGAGGTTTATTTCTGCCATAATAGTATGAAATGCAATTATTGTATTACAGTAGTTCCTAATCCATTTCCAACAAGGCATTACATGCAAAATGTCAACTAAAGTCCATTTCACTGCTTCAGTGCGTCAGTAGAACGGCAAAAATAAGAAATTGGGAGCCCATTGTGCAATAATATATGGAAAAGTATATTCATAATGTACATGAATGACATTTGTATATTTCAGATTTTTTAGTTTTTTGTGCAATAAGCCTGTGCCGTCTTGTAATTTGAAGAATTTCAGGCATGTTAATCTTATTGAAAATAACATGACAGAGAAGCATCCAAATATAAGAGGCCACACACTTTCTAAGCCAAACTAGAAGCAATCCAAAATATACAAATGTCATTCATGTTCAATAGGAATATATTTTTCCATATATTATTGCAAAATGATATTTTGATTTCTTATTTTATAGCTTTTACTGACGCACTTTAACAGTGAAATGGACTATACTACCAGTCACAGACAACAACTACCAAACACCAATTGCCAAACACCAACCACTGAATGCCATCCCCAAAAAAGTTGTCGTCACTTGGGGACTGGTGACATAAAAAAGGTTTTCTGAAGTTTTGAATAAGGAAATCTATTTCTGCTACATGTACCTGCTGATTAATGAATGAAAAAGGATTCTTACTTAGTACCACTCTTTGTGCAGAACATTGTTGAGTTATTGAATCTCTTCAAATCCTTATCTGTCAAGTCACAATCTCCTTGCTTCAGCGGCACCTCACGTAAAACATCAGAGTTTTTTGTGTAAAAAAGTATGTCTTCTCTAGACAAATATGTATCAGATTCCCGTCCCCATCCTGATACCTTACACAGTTGTTGTTTGCCTGTTTTGAGTGTGGCTGCTTTAGGTAGTTTGATAGCTTGGACTTTCTTATTGAATTCTAACGGTGGATGAACTCTTAGTAATGCTATATCATTGTTTAATGTTTCAGGGTCGAAATTTCCATGGATTAAGAAATCTTTCTCATTAACCATTCGCTCTTGTTCAACACCTTCCTCGATCCTTCGATCATGCTCCCCAGCAGCTATTCTTACACTCGCTCTTCTATGGACACAATGCGCCGCTGTCAGTATGTGCCTTGGGCTTATGATAGAACCCCCACATAGCGTTTCATTTTCCAGTAAATCAATGTAGACCATCCATCGCAAATTGTATTTTGGCTCAACTTCCTTTCCTGATATGATAATTGTTCCTGATGATGTTATTGGTTTTCCTATTTCTGGACAGGTGGTGTTAATCTCTAGCATGTAGTCTACCTTGGTGTCATAACATTCTGAACCATTCTCCCCTTTTGCCCCATAGCATTGTGTTACTCTGTATTGCCACTTGCAGCCCCTTTTATCAACTGGCATAGGGAAATATTCACTTGGTTTACCTAAATTAGAGATAAAAATCAGGATGAATAGTTAATAGTTATTATTATATATTATGTTATATATAACATGTATTATGTATTATTATGTATAATATATTATGTATTAAATATATCACCATGCGCTTATTGAAACATATTAATCAAGTCGATATAAGCCATGCTATATTTGTAATATGGCCTTCTCTAAATATGACAAAAATGATACATGGTAAGTCAAAAAAAGTTTTCAAAAGTATCCTTTCATTCATACAAAATTGTTGGTATATTTGTTCATGAGAAATAATCTTTAATTTTCTTATTTTGGACCTATGTTTGTAAATTATGTTTAATTTATCACTTCTTACTTTTATCACTTTTTACCTTGTACCCATGGGTTCCTAGAAATGACATACCTTTAATCCCTCTCTCACATGCACCAGCACATGGTATAAAGTTATTTGATCGACATTCACATAAATCGCAGTTGGATTTCCAGAATCGTTCCCCTGGCCCTAGTTTCCTTTTTTGTCCAGTTTTCTCTGGCAAACATTTTTTACATTCTACAAAAATAAAATTTAGATTTTTAAGTTTATAGGAATGTGTGCATATGTGAATTAATGTTCATTTGAAACTTAATGTGATCATAAACTCAAATGTGCAAAACTTATATTTTCTTAATGACATAATGTGAATGAAAGTGGTCACAAATTGCTTGATATGACATATGTAAAGCTACAAACATGAAAATAATGAACGGTCGTTTTTTTTAATATGACAGCTATTGCATATATGTATAATATATCTTTTCTATCTGACTCAACTGATTGGTTTCTTGTATGTCAGTGTGACTGCAACCATGGTACAGTAAAAGCTTTATTAAAAATCAATTGTTTGTTGCTGTTCTATGCTATGGACCTCTAACTCTATCGTCTTACTGTGCTACTTAAGTTGGCGCTACTTATTTTGATGGATTTGCTGTTTTGAACATTTGGCGGCTACTCAATTTTGCAGACTTGCAATATTACAATGTATAATGGCATTAATTTACATGGTACTACAGTAAGATTACCAGGGAATTTGGCAGCTACTTAATTTGGTGGACTGGATGGTTGGCGTTTCTGATTTATATACAATATATGAAATATAACACAATTTTACATTTTTTTTACTTACTCTTTTTTGATTTACATTTGGTTGAGCCAATTTGTCTTGTTCCAGTGTGAGTTTTGCATGAACATTTACTGCATTTATCATATGGACTGATCCATGGTTTATCACCAATTTTGTGTTGTATCTCATCCTCATCCCTGCATGTCACATTAAGACAACACATGCTGTAGACATTTGCGTGTCCTACATGACACACATATCCTTGTGGACATGGCTTGCTGCCTCCACCCACGCATTTATGTGGGACATATTTACTGTTTTCTTCCATTAATGCCCCACATGTTTCAGGTACATGTTTAATCCTACAGCACACCTGTTTCTTATTACATTGATATGTATTTGGACAATAAGGTCCAGTTTTTGAACATGTCGTGTTCGGTAATTGAAATTGTCCACCTCTGCATATGTGTCCATTTTCACTCCCAATTGTTGAATCGATACAGAAGTAGAGAATGAAGAAAACTACAAGTATTTGTATTTTGCAGCTCATCATAACAGTCTCCATCCCATTTAATTTAATAATGATTAGACTTCATTGGATTTCTTAATGATGTTATGCATAAAATGTTGCTACTTAATTGCTCATTGATAACCATTAGAAGGTAATGAAGCGGAACATGTAAACATTCAACTTGACTTAGGTTAGAGTGAATGTTACATCTGATTTCATGTTATACGTTTTATGTTATAGGATAAATGTTAACTATCATCTTCTCTTTCTCATTGCCTCGTATCTGGTATTTCTCTAAAACCTCCACTGTTGAACAAAAATATGAAATAGAACTTCAATTGAGAGGCTTCCTAGAATGATAATGATTTCACTAACTGATGAAAATGAAGTCATTGCAAAGTGACATCTTGCTTAACCCGCCACTAAGGCTCTGCATTCCAATGGTTGCTTTATATAACATTTTATAATGTTAGTGAATTCAACTCCTTTCTACACCACCTCTAGGGATTCGGGAATATGAGCATTTCATTTAACAATACACTTAACTGTATTTGCAGATAAACCAGAGGCAACATATATGTACTTGTGCACTGGATGTTCAATTACTGCCCCTACCATCACCATAGCAGTATTATCATTCTTTCATATTGCGTACCAAGTATTCAGCAAACAACTGCTTCACTATATTGTATAAGGTAATGTGAAATGATCCGATACATCCTGTCACCTTTTTATATAAATATAGAAAAACTATGATATATTGGCTAAATTGATGATGTCATTAGTTATAGGTAGAAATCTGACCATGCAAAAACAAGCCCAACTTATTGCTTTAAAATAAAAAATACCTGTACAATCAAAGTTTCTCTGATATCTCTAAGGGTGGCAGGATTTATCAGAAAGTTCTATTGTTCTAAACCATTTTAACAACACACAATTAAATAAAAAGAGGTTTTCACTTTGAATACATTTTTTTCACTACAAGGTGTTACATTTATAGCATTGGTATTAGGAATTAATTTTATGATATATTACTGTTACTATGAATTTCGAGTTGTTTTATTAAAATGCGGATTGCACATTGGATTTTTTTTATTATTTATTTATTCAATTTATTTAGCAAATTGATATGTTACACAAAAGCGCTTTTAGGATTTTATTATAGAAAAGTATTACAGTAGGCCATTAAAGTAACAGCATATCAGAATAATTTAATAATGTGGATTTTTTATCTTCAGGATAAACTTCTTAAGAAACATTCCAAATGTGAGACATAGATTCCAGAGTAGGCTACTAGAGTTCCAGAATGCAAATCGATGCCATACACTTAATACGTTGTTAATGCAGTTGTTAACTCACCAAGTTGGAGATAAAACCTAGCAAGCATAGTCCATACAACCATAGTAATTAATTACGACAAACACGCATATATGAACTTTAATGCCAGTGGAATGACCAAAATACAACAATAGGGAACATTGTTTTAATCAAATTTTGGCTCTGAATATGCAATAATATGCGAGACAATGATTTGACCGCTCAAAGCGGTGTTGCCTAAATGACAATGTAATATGAAAAGGGGAATTTTAAGAGGTCATCTTCACCAATTACCAAGGTTTCCCAATGTTTTATATCTAACTCAATGTTTTGAGTAACTGGTTTGCATAATGAAATCATTGGTCCATGCGAATCTCTAGTACAAGTGAAACTTGAAATAAAGCTAAGATCTGAATTCAAATGTAAGTTCTGATATAAATGTCAATTTTATGACATGGTGGAAAAAGATCTGAAATGAAATTTTAAATATTATATTTTCTATATTATATATTTTATTCTTAAGAATGACTTGTATTTCTATTTTTAAAACATTCCCAATATAGTGTTCTTGAAATGGTCCATCCTTATTCTATGTATAAAATGCATCCATTTTCAAAAGTTTACATATATTTTCTGACATAATGGACAAATGATCTGAGCTTTACTTGTAAATTATGTATTAGTATATATTTTATACATTCCTGATGTGGTATTGCATATTGACACTATTGGTATTGCATACCCATGTTGTTTGTATTGCATACCGACACTATTGGTATTGCATACCCATGTTGTTTGTATTGCATACCGACACTATTGGTATTGCATACCCATGTTGTTTGTATTGCATACCGACACTATTGGTATTGCATACCCATGTTGTTTGTATTGCATACCGACACTATTGGTATTGCATACCCATGTTGTTTGTATTGCATACCGACACTATTGGTATTGCATACCCATGTTGTTTGTATTGCATACCGACACTATTGGTATTGCATACCCATGTTGTTTGTATTGCATACCGACACTATTGGTATTGCATACCCATGTTGTTTGTATTGCATATTGACACTATTGGTATTGCATACCCATGTTGTTTGTATTGCATACCAAGACTTCGTATTGCATACCCCACACTATATCAAAATATTGCATGCATTTCCAAGGTATTCACATTTCCATTCTTGTCTTATTGTGATTGGAATGTTTTGTACTTAAATATCATGCTGTCAACTTTTGTACATAATTCATGATGTAATTTCATCATTACCATCTGTATATTTTTTCGCTCGATTAATTCAATAATAATTGCATACGTTTTATAAATCATTGCATGATATATTTGCAGATAAAATATGTGTCGTCAATATTAAAATTCTCTTGATTTTAATTGCAAACTAAAATAAATGTACATGTATGTGTGAACATGGAAAGAAATGCTTAATGTATAGACATTCCAGAAAATGTACATCAAAAGTGGAACAAAGACAGAAACTTTGATGCATTTCAATGTTTGACTTTGAATGTTTGTGAAAATAACACTGTTTTAAACACACCTCATCCTGTTAGACATGTACAGTTTTAAAAGATTGTATAGCTTATATATATATTTTATTCATCAATATTATTCTTAGTTCTAATAGCTAGTGTTTTGATACACCGTATATATAATGCTTAATAGATATAATTAGGCTGTATACACAGGAATATAATTATGCAATGCTATTGTCACTGTGTCAGTAAACATGAATATAAAAATGTCAATATTATGTACATATTACATTGAGATTTCAATTTAGGCTTCATTTGGTTTCAATTAATCATTTTATGTACAGTCAATAGAATCATGATACAGTAAAACCTGTCTAATCCAAAGACCTTTAAGGGATCAGCCAAAAGTGTTTGAATGAATAGGTGTTCACATTTCAGGTTTCTTGATATGTAAGTCAATTGGAGATAACAAAATTGGGACCAAGAAAAGTGTTCAGGCTGACAGAAGTTTGGATTATAGAAGTGTAAGGGTACACAGGTTTTACTGTACTGTACTTTTTATTTAAGTGTGTCAATTAACATTTCATGGCTGTTGCCACTAGAGAAGAAAACAAGATCTGATCAACATAAACATCATATCTCAGCTCGCTATATATTCATGATTTCTGTGTTCATCAGTGAGCATTTGAGATTTACTTTTTAATAATAGAATCTCTTTAATAAGATGAAATATACTTTTGTAAAGTCAATTTAATGTCAATAAACTTTTGTACATAAACAAATTATTTATTTTAGTCAGTGCAGCTACATACCCTACCATATTGAATTAAATTTTGGCCACATTTTTATGGGCAATGGTATACAGTCCAGTTCACATTTTATATAGTTTACAATCAAATACAGATACAGAAACCCCTTATTGAAGTGAACACAGTTCTATTATGTGCACACCAAAGCTACAGAAGTACACACCAAAGCTACTGTACCACAGCCTTATAAAGGAGCTGAGGACCACTCAGTATCCTACGATCATGTTTAAGGATTTAAGCCCTGGACTAAGTGCAAACAATGCTTGAAAGGAATGGTCATTCCACAATGCATTTAGTTTTTGGCTTAAATGATCATACATTACAAAATATTCCCTATCATGTCACTTAAAAGGCACGAAATTGCTAAAAGAACATATTGTCAATGAAACTTTAAGTTGGCAAAGCACCAATTTCAATCTTCAGTTTCAGTCAAATTTGTCACCTTGACAACCAGATGTGGAGTGACCTTGGATGCGGTGATTGGTGATATAATGCACTGCAGATATATTAAATATTGTGTTCGGATTGGCTGAAATGTGACACACCTAATCCATTATCTTCAGATTTGGACACAATAAAGAAACATTGGTAAAAACAGGTGGGTAGCATTATGAAATAATCTTCAATTATGGAATTTGTCACCCGGCTATTGTCAATTACTCTCCTTACTGGGCCTTCTCCCTTGAAATATATGAATAAACACAATGTTCTGCCATGGTGTTATCAAAAGAAATTACCCCATCCAAGTTACCGATAACTAGTCCAAAGTTCTTTTTACATCCACTAATTCTTATCTGTACATATCCGTATATATTGAACAAACATAACATAATAAACATAACATCAATATGGCCAGCATTCTTAGAGTACTGATTCTAGCGTATTTGGGAGTTAAAGCAGGGGAGGCATGCAAATGTTTCGTTGCTCATCCACAGAGTCAATTCTGTTCTTCAGATTTCGGTGAGTGGTAACATCTTCGATTTACTTAAAATAAATGAAACACCACGATCTTTTGATTCATATCTAGTAAAACCTGCGAAAGTAGAACACCTTGCCTTGATTTTACCAAAAAATCACTTGCAAGGTGTGTTATGTGGTAAACATGATTCAAGTATGTCATATTCCTCAACGAATATTGCATTCACTCGCGGTGTATGACAGATGCACCTGCGATAAGTGACATGTACAACATAAATATACGAACATGCGTTCGTGGAATTATGAGTGACCCTTTCGACAGTCGATAAATACTAGACACAAAACTTAAAAATCATTAGCCTTGCCCAAGTCGGTATTTTTTACTTATCTGATCTTGAATTAGAAATCAAGATAAGTAAAAGAGACCGACTTGGGCAAGGCTAAAAAATCATAAGTAAGAATGTATTTTGGCATCTGTAATCGCGATTTATATCTTTCTGATACTTTCAAAAGTATCACTAACCAATTACACGTAAGGAACTTACTTAATCACTCCATTATTCATATTTTAGTGTTGGTAATCCAGCATAGTTGATTCATATCTAATAAAACCTGCGAAAGTAGAACACCCTGCCTTGATTTTACCAAAAAATCACTTGCGAGGTGTGTTATGTGGTTCACCCGCATCACGAATACTGCGCGACCGTAGATATATGGCATATTCAGCGAACATGACACGATTTTAACACGATATACTATACTTTTAGTCTATTTGATTTTAATGTGTTTGATATTTTCAGTACTATTGGCTAATATTGTGAATGAAACAATACATCGAGAGAGCCAATGGACTGGAACTAGAGTTTACGGCATTGACGTGATTTCCGCCTTTAAGGTATCATTGTTAGTCTTTTTTTTCTATAAGTCTATAATTTCTCCATTACTTACATGTTTTCTTTATATCTAAAAACTTGTCAATTTACAACTACGATAATTTCTATGTTCACTATATTCTACTATATTTTTCTCTCTGTTACTTTACTCAACTACTAAAACTAAAACTACTAACGAATTCAATTAAACTTTTCTTTTTATACTGTAGGAATTACTATTGCCATCAACTCAATAATATAAGCCAACAAAATTAGCGGATGATTTAATCTTCGGTCTCAGAGAGCAGAAAACTGGTGCAAACTTTGGTGATGCAAAATCATCCAGTCTTCCGTTCTGAGACCGAAGATTCTTCATCGGTATAGTTGTTTATACATTCTTTTTCTTCGACAGAATATTCTTCTTTCATACTGTAAACTTACCTGTCTAATCTAAACGACTCTAAGACCAGCAAAAAGTAATTGGATTAAGGAGACGTTCATAATACCCAGGCTTTACTGTATATTGTTTACTTTTTATATTACACCGACAACATTATTCCATCGCCGAATTTGGCATCATATGCCAGAAGAAGTCACAAAAGAAAGGATCAGAATTATGATAATTTCATTGTTTAGATTAATCTGAGGCCGAAGGAAAGATTCAGGCTCTGTCGTAGAATATATTATAAACCTACAATCATCAACTCCAAGAAATCATAAGATATTGAAGTCGATTGTTTGTTGAGGGTGCTCAAAAACTATTTTGGGGCCCACCAAAGTGGTTAGGGAGGCCCCCTTTCCACCACTGTAAATAGTTTATGCATCACATTGCCGTCGGCCAATTAAATGTATGTTGAATTGATGTTCTTCAAAATTATTTAAGGGAACGCGCTACAGTCAAGTTTCTACACCCCTTGATGGTGCAGCATGCGGAGTACAACTGGAAATAGGTCAGCAATATGTCTTTACAGGTACCCGTACTTTTTATATCTGACTTTATTATCAAAAATATATCCTGTATACCACAATACCGTGTGATGAATAATCAGATTCACCATCTGACGTCATCTGTATTACTTGTTTTGACGTAAGAGGCATATTTGTCGAATATCATTGAAAAAGTTATTCAATGATTTCTCGACGAATCGCATGATGTACGCCTGGGTACAGATTCATGTCCGACATAAAACGGAAGATTTGGAGAATGGATTCGTGAAACGCGGACCAATCGGCTTGCAAAATGTAGCTAGAAAAGCGCTCAAAGGTGTGTACAGCCAGAAATCAAAGCAGGGAACGCTATTAAGGAAGTCAACTTAAATACACTTGTTAATATCACAAAATGATATAACCATACATTAAGAATCGTATTTGTGTATCACTCAAAATAACTTATTTAGATAATTATAACAATTGTAAAAAACAACTCGGCATTTTTGAATATTTCTATGGTCATATATTGTTTACACGTGGCCCATTTCTTTTGTTACCCCTTAATAAGTTACTGTTTTGTTTCACGATTAGTTTAAATGTCCTATTTTCATTTGTGCTTTAACTTTCAAAGGCTACACTAGGAATGACGTTGGACAGATAGCTTCCTGCGGTTTCCAAAAGAAATGGTCTTCTCTAACCAGGGATCAACAGAGAGGTTTCGGGACCAAGTACGCCAAGAATTGTCGCTGTGAGGTAAAATGCATATTAAAATAACAATTGTTCGACTCTGGATTGTGTGAAGGGAATGCATTACTCATAATCACAATATTACGAGAATATAAAAGCCATCAATAGTAAATCAATCTTCTGGGTATATTAATAATTTAAATTGACTAAAATAAATACTTAAAGCTTTTAATCATAATACTATAATTGTAATAATTTGTTCATATATTCACATTTGCAAGGATAGGTATCGATATGGTGAAATGAATTTTACAATGTTTTTCTCTACCAATTATTGTAAAAGAACACTACCCCTTTATGTAATGTTGACCGATTGACAACAATTTAATGTGAAAACTAATTATATATATTGTATATAACTGTTTTTGTTAACATTTTTTGTTCCTTTCTACCTGTTCTTGAGAATGAAATAAAATGTCTTTCCGATCCTTGTTGGAACAAAATAGCATATACAACATTTTCTTAGACCTATCAATATTATAGTTGTACAAAGGATTTTTTGGTTGATTTTAAAAAAATATTCAAAAAATTAAAACAAAATCCCCCAAAACAGATAAAAATTAAGATAAACCTTATTTCATTAACAATATACTTTTTAAAATCAACCAAATTCTCCTTTGTACAATTACAATATTGAGAGACCTAAACATGTTGTGTTTATGTCCTTTTGTTCCAATGAGGTTCGGAAAGATGTTTCATTTAATTCCGAACATATGATACCAAGAGCAAAAGGAGTGTCTAATGTATTTTCTAAAACAATATAGAGAAGTATATATATTCTTTCAAATTACTGTATGTTGTTACCATCCAAAAGATAATCATTAAATTGACAATGTGTAAAAGTTTTAGAATTTTTTGATAACTTGTTCAAGAAAAGCGTGTGTTCAAGTTCACCATATCGATACCCATCCTTTCTAATATTTGTTTCACCATATGTTTACAACATTCTCAGATACCTACATTTAATATCAAAATGCCTCTACTTGTCTGTTATAGTTCAATCTTTTTGAACAAATAATTATGTAAATTACTAAGCAAATATCTTTTTATGGTTTGTAATACGCGTATTACATTATTTACATGTGTAGTTTCTTCCCAAAGTGATTCCAAAAATGTGGTTAGAGTGACTCTATAGCATTCAAACTAGCATGACCAATTTAGCCAATCATTGCTTTCCTTTTTGAATAAGGCCACATGACAAAAACAACCAACCCCTGTCAATTTCATATCAAGTGGTATCTTCAAATATACTCTAGCTATAGATACTATAGTAGGTCCAGTGTGTCAAACAATGCTATTTGTCGGAATTGTCTGATAGTAGCAACCAGCCACCAAATCAAAAGTTACAACTTTGACATGTTTACACTTTCCACTGGACCGGATGACATTGTTGAAGATTGCCCATTATCTCTTTCGGATGTTTCTGTCTGCTGTTTAAAAGCAAATGTGGATGAGAATGTTATCTTACTTTCATCTACGAATATAACAGCGTATATGCGTGGTGCAAACAAACACACAATTGACACTGCCCCTGTTAATAAAAACATCACAGAGAACAACATTTGTTGGTGCTTTGCTCGATCAGTTATAAAATAAGTAGGGATGAATGACAGCCACAAAAATAAAGTTGCACACACAGATAACAAGATATGCATTGTTTCATTAAAATTATCTGGTAGTTTCCTGGTGAGAAAAGCCAATGTCGCTGTAGCTAAGACCAGTAACAAGTTGAATATAATTGAAACAATCATACTCCAAACTGGAAAGTCACAGCTGAGTTCAACATACTTCTCGCTTTCAACTGGCATTTTCTTTGTCACATTCGGAGGAGCAGTCACTGACACAGCAATTGTAATACCAATCTAAAATCAAAAATTAATTACAAATTAATTGGACATAAATAAATGATAGCAATTCTTTTTTTTCTAAAATAGCACATATTGTCCTTGCAATGGTAAAGCATATGACAGAAATGAAACTCACCTGTATTGATATCAATGCCATTGTTATCGCCAGAGACCTCTTGGCTTCTATCCACTTAGGTAGCTCCAGTTGAAATTTAGAACCTCCTTTAAATATGCAATAAATCCTGGCTACTTTCAAAAGGAGCGGTGCATACAGGATAGTGAAACCAATACTAAAGCCGACACGTCCACAATAACAAACGATCACACTCGGGTTTAGGAGATAAACATAACTGATGCCATACACTTTTACAGTTGCGAGAAGAAGGAAGTAATTAAACTCTCTTGATGAAGCTCTTATGATTTTCTCCCCTCTCCAGTGAATAAACAGTCCAAGCATGAATAATACTGTTACCAATCCAAGCATTGTCAAAATGAAGAGGGAAAGGAACAAAGAATCAGATAGTAAATTGATAAAGTCTGGCTCTATGAGTTCACAATCTGTAGCAGTGCTTTCATCCGGCCATGTAAACATTGGACATTTTATGCACACTGACCCATTGATGACAATATCATTAGCATGGCATTTAAAGCAGTCCCAGCAACAGGGCAGTTCAAGTTGAATTCTGATTTCTCCCACGTTGCATTCTTCACTGCATTTGGACACTGGTATAGTGTCATTAGTATTCCAGTACAAGTTACTTTCGTTAAGCTTGAGTGATTCAGATGACCGATTCCATGAACCAACTTGAATTGAAGCATAGCCTGAATCACTTGGTATGAAATGTTTTATTGTGTAGCCTCCAAAAGCATCACCGTTTTCATCAAATGATATTGGACCAGAGCTACCCTCAAATTGCACCTGTCGAATATATGAAGTGAGGCCAGTATTTTGAACACAACTTAACATTGCCTTTTTGTCAGCAACGTGATTCTGACAATTCTCCTGGATAAGATCATCCAATGCATATCCAAATGCATACACCGTATCCAAGAGGAGAGAAATCCAAGGAGAATCTCTATGCTTCTTTGACTCCGTGAGAGATTTAAACGTGTCACATGGTGGTCTGGGGTTAGTGTTGTTAGTTTGCCATGTGCAATTGAATGCCAGCGTCCAATATTCAGAAAACCAGGGGTTATTTGGATTATTCCAAGGAGTCAGGGTTCGATAATGTTGTATGAAGGCTTTGTCATATTTGGATGTAAGTTGCACTGAAAAGGCTCCATGCAGGGTCTTGGGAATATTTTCCACATCTGGCTCTTCGAATGTGTCTGACCCAATCCATATGAATTCTCTTGCAGCGTTATATTTATCAATTGTGGCCAAAAGTTTCTCAATGTGTATAGGCTCTAAGAACAAAACAACTACTTTCGCCTTTTTATTACGCCTCAAGTTTTGTATTATTTCAATATATATCGATTCGTCGCCCAGATCAAAGGGGACACTGCCAAGAAATGCGTTGCACAAGCCCCTAGATTTGGCAATTCGTTTCACTTGAGACATACCATTGGCTCCATATACTCCTTCCGAGTAGACCATGGAATAATAGCTCCAGTTGAAGTATAACATTAAGTCGACCATGGTTTGGGCTTGGAACCTATCTGGTGGTACCACCCTACTGAAGTATGGATAGTCATCCTTGTTGCTGAGTATATCGCTTGTAGACACAGATGCAATCTGGGGAATTGAGAAAATGTTTAAAAAGTTGGCTATCAGTTGATTTCTTTGGCTTCCAATCTGTGTCACCAGCCCAATAGTTTCCTTGAATCGTGATTTAACATCTTCTGGGATCTTCTTGCAATTCTTTGATTCTTCAAGCATTGGTATGAAATGAAGCATTCCTGCTAGACTGGCAGATGTCCGTAAACATATATCAAATACATTGAATCCCAAAGTTACATTTGGCAAAATATCACTCCTTTCATTAATCGTATTCACTGCAAAAGCAACCGCTTCGACATACTGCATTGATACAATGTAGTAAAATGAATCACTGCAAAGCGATTCTCTACCATAACCTGGGCCTGATATACTAAATGGTGCTGCTAACAGTAAATCACCATCTTGGTTGAATGTTTTAGTGGAGAGTCCATTTGGAATTTCAAAATATCCGTTTGTAAGTAACAAAGTACTTAACATGAAAATGACAACATACCTCATTGTAGACCTATTTGATAACTTGCAATTTTGAAATCTGCATAGATCTAATATTCTTTATATTGACAGTGGCGATTCTGTATTCCGCTTTTTGATCTTTGTTTCCAACTTAAATTTTTCTCTATAATTATATAATCCCACGTACACCTTGGGCGACCTATACATCATTTGTGAATTTTTAGTACCTCAAGTCTACAGCACAGACGAACCACTCTCTCTCGCGATCTAAATTAGTGCGCACACACTTATCTATATGCAATAAAGCAAATGAGCTATCGGAATAATAACTTTATTGTTTATAGTGTATCGCTATTACGAATAGTAGGCAATATATAGAGATTATCCTATATGAGGTTCAGGATATTGGGATTATCCCGAGGCCAATATAATATATTTTCCCTCGGGACCTGCGGCCCTCGGGCAAATATATAATATTGGCCTCGGGATAATCCCAATATCCTGAACCGACTATAGGATAATATGTTTATCCCATACCAGTCTTGGTCATCTGGTTCACATTGTTCAATCGTGGAAATATTTTAGAATATTCATGTCCAGTTTTGTTTTCTTGGCCGTGGGAGGATTTTCCTGTTCCCTCAAATATTCCCACATTTATTTTCTCGAATTTTTGATTGATTAAGTGGATGCTCCTTCCCTTTTTTAAACCATCAAACAGATCCCCATTGTCTGTGTTTTCTCCATTGTCGTGTACAGT